CGTCTACATGTGTTTGTGTGCATTTGTTCAAACCTTGTCACAAGTGAAAAGTACTTACGGCATATTTCTGTAGTCATTATCTTCCAATATCTCACCAGTGGTCTAAAGAGTAGACAGAAAATCAAAATGATGCATTACCTTCAAATAGATGAAAAATATATCTGCTGATTTAGATTTGATCAGAGATGAGGTATTACTTGTAGACATTGCATATGATGCGCTGATTCAAAGTAATACTTAGAGCAATACTCCCTGAGAAATTTATATCAAAACTGAGCTGCTTCAATTTCCATTGTTAAGCCAATCACACTTAACTCACTTTTTCTACAAAACATTTCACCCCTACATCCAAAGGTCTGATTGTTAATTGTTCCAAACTTCCACATGTCCATTGCTATGCCGAATACACACAGATTTATCTGAGTTTCAAACCTATTAGAAACATATCCCAGGAAGATGCAATTCATGCGATGGAATGTTGTATCGAGAAGATCAGGTGCTGGCTGATCCATGATAGACTCCTTCTTAATGATGATAAGACTGAGTTTATTATTATTGGAACTTGCCAGCAACTTAACAAATTGCAGGCTATGAATATTAAAGTAGGTGGTTCAGAGATAAAATCTAGCTACCAAGTTAAGAACCTTGGAAGCTGGCTTGATCCACACCTGAATATGCATCACAATATTACCTTTGTATGTAAGGTGGGTTTTTTCTACTTGCATAAATATTAGATGCATTGAGAAGTTTTTATTGAGAGACAGCTTACTCACTCTGGTACACGCATTCATCCCGAGTAGGTTAGATTACTGTAATGCTCTATTGTAAGGCCTTCCCAAAGAGCAAATAGCTAAGTTACAACGTGTGCAAAATGCTGCCACCAGACTAATTATGGATATTGGGAAGTATTCTCACATTATTCCAGCACTCTATGAGTTACACTGGTTACCAGTGCCAGCGCATATAGATTTTAAGATTCTATTACTAGCTTTTAAAGCCATTCATGGCCCTGCACCTACACATATTAGCAATCTTTTAGTTATAAAACACAAGTCCTTGTACAATCTTAGATCTAACTCAGGTATTTTATTAGAGCCACCAAGAGGTAAGATGCTGGCAACCCTGAGTGAACATGCATTTCAGGTGGCTGCGCAGCATTTATGGAACAAGCTACCATGATTGCAATTACACAATATTTGATCTGTAGAAATTCTTAAGAATTCACTTAAGACTTTTCTTTTTAGGCAATTCTTTCAATAGTGGTTAAGTTATGAATTTTACATAGCCAATTTAACTGTAATATGTAATTATTTTTTAATTAGTTGAGATTTTAATATTTAGAGACATTAATTGTAAAGTGCTGTTGATCTGTCCCTGTAAATAGCACTCTATAAGAAATTATTATTATTATTATTATTATTATTATTATCATTATCATTATCCCCTAGAGCTGCTAGACATTTCCTTGTAAATTAGCTACAGGAATTTGGTATTGGATCAAGATGACAACTTTTACCAGATAAGTTTGAGTATTCTCTTTACCTGTTTGCTGGATTATGTATGGATATCAAAAGGGAGAAGTTACATGTAAATCACTTCAGGATTAAAGGGTTAAGACCATTGTGTTTCCTGATAAACCTTAATTATTTAACTGTAAGCTTTGTCAAGTATTAGCAGATTCTTTTCTTTTTTCAATGTTTGAACATTTGACTATTAAATCTACATGTAGATGCTGGATCAAGTCACCCAGTCTGCAAGGAACATTCATGACTGGTTCCCTTCAGTGTAGCTTACCTTCCCTACATACACAGCTGGTAGATTAACTTCTCCTCCGTCTGAAATAAACATTGTATAATTGAAGTATAAGCTGAGAAAATCCAACAAATGTGTGCACAGAGAGAAATAAATCACTGTTTGTTGAAAATGAAGACACAGAGAAAAGCATGATTTCCCAAAGATTTTGTTCTTCACTAACTCAAAAAAGTAGTTTTATGCTATCTGCGTATGTCCTCATAGGAGTACAATTAAAACAGCACTTGAACAGCAAATTCACCTAACTAACTACTTACCTGTAGTTCCTTCATCCATAGAATGGACATCATCATCTTCCAGGCTTCGAATGATAGCAGCATCAAAACCACCTCTAGAAGCCTCTACACTCTGGAATCAACCCACAAAAATTTGTTAAACTGCTGCCTCCCTTAAATGGAGTGCTCGCACCTAAGGTGCTTAGAGGCATCAACTGTGTCCAGCTCCAAAGGCTGCCAAATTCTTGACACCCAGCCACAAACCTCCATTCCACACACCTGTCAACACTGTTCTGTTCACTGAATCAGTGGGTAGAACATAATAAAGAGGCTAAAGTAGGGTAGGGGAACACTTTACAGAAATACTACAAACAGTACTTCTGAAAATCAAATGCTGCATGTGCACCAGACATTTTGAACACCAAGATCCAACAGTGATGCAGTCACACTTTTCCTTGTGAGCTTTCACTTCAGTTTAAGACCACTACCTAAAAATAACTGTTGAGATCCTACTGGTTTACTTTTAAAGTAAATTATCAAATTTAATAAATTATTAAATTTCTAATTTAATCAAAAATTCCAACCAATTGAGGTCAAAGTAAAATGCTAAAATAAAAGAAAAGAAAGAGGACAGTGACATTGGAGACAAAATAGGAGGTCAAAACTCTTTGGGACAGTTATCAAAAACATGTCCTCTGTCCAAATACAAGTAAAAACACCACTTTTTGCCAATATAAATGTACATATTTCTGTACCCCTTTCCTCTAAAAATATTGCTAAAACAGTCACCGCACCTTGGCAAAGTTTACAAAGCACAAAAAATTTAACATTGTTTATGGGAGAGGGACAGTGAAAGGGAGGATTCAATTTTAATAATAACACATTAAGTGTCCAAGTCTTCTAACCTGCACTGTTTACTGGACGAAAACAAGCCCAAACACTAATTTTAAGCAAGGCAATCACTTGACAGTTGTTGCTGCCTTCCAGTCAATAAAATAAAGGATAGTTCAAGAGCTTATTTGGCAAGAACCAAATCCTGACACACAAATAATGTAGGGTGTATATTTCAGTAACAGTACATGATAATGAATAAAATGTATTGGACTTTGCATACCTTGGTGAAAAAGTCACAACTTCCCTGATCAATTAGGAGAAATACCTTTCCATCATAAGAAATATTAGTGTAGCTGTTTTTGTGTGACACTTTGCTGCAAGCATCTCTAGGATTAGCCATAAATACCACACCCTGAAAATGATACCAACAACTCAATTTAGACTATCATGTTCATAGCCTTATTGTATAGGATAATGTCCCCTCATTAATGCCCACTCATTACATGCACCGTGCATCTTTCGTGAAAGCTAATTGTTCCTCAATTTTAAGACCCTTTCTCAAAAAGTTTCAAACAATATTCAACCTTTTACACCCTTACATCAGTATGCATATTCTCCTCATACTGTCCTACTGTCTTACTGTCCTACTGTCCTACTCATACTGTCCCCTATACATTCCTACGGTGCAAAAAACGAGAATACATCTAAGAATCAAAGGCTTCTTTCCTTGGTGATCATTTCTGTTAATTCTGTGAACTTAATGTCTGGTTCAGTGGTGACACTGGAAGGAAAAATTGGATGTTTCTCACTTCTAGAGTTTAAAGGGTTAATTTTAATGCTAATTTAACTAAGTCAAGTACAATTTGCTATGAAATCATATGTGTGAGTACAGCCTATACTCATTGGCTGGAATAAAGATACACTTTAGGGCAAAAAAATGGTAGGATTCATTAATAAATGCGACCTCTCACGGGAAAACGTTCCGAACGGTTAGCCGTTTTTAAACGGATAGCCGTTCACCAGCCGTTCATCAGCCATTCGACTGGATTGGCATGCAGTGTGAATGCCTCAAGCTATCCGTTCTTGAATATTCATCATCCGTTCGAACCGTTCGAGCAATCCATTTAAGAAACTTCATCATCTGTTCGAACGCCTCTAGCTATCCGTTCTTGAATATTCATAATCCGTTCGAACGCCTCCAGCTATCTGTTCTTGAATATTCATCATCAGTTTGAACGGTTCGAGCTATCCGTTCGAGAAAATTCATCAGCCATTCACTTGGCACTTTGGCATAGATGGTAGAAACATTTTGGGTGTGATCGCAATCCATATATTCTCTCGTTGGATTCTCCATTTTGTGATTGTGTGAAATGGCGGTAATTGACACAAGTTATTAGCAGTTACCAAGGCAATGCATTTTTGTTGGACTGACAGGGAAGCTGGAATTATGGAAATTTAAACCTGAATTGAAGTTAAGAAGTATCGAATTGTATGCTTTTCGCGTGCAAGTTCCTTGGTTATACCTTATCTTAATCGGTCGAATTCAATAAGAAAAATATTAATTATAATCCATTTGAATGCGCCGAAAGCAAAGTCGAGTTATTCAAACGATCATGTTTCAACTTGTTTCAAGTGATCTTTTCACAGATTGTGTCAAATACCTCACGTAACCTAACACCGCGTCACCCAACGCATGATGCTTTCATGAAATAATCCTTCGCTTTGGCTCAGCATTCGTTTTGACGAAACCATCTGTTCAAATAATTTCTACAGGCGAACACTTGTTCGACCGATTAGCCATTTGTCCATTCGATCTCATCTGTGAGGCTCATCTCAGTGTTTGAAAAATTAGCCGTTCATCCGTTCTATTACTTTCATTAGCCATTCATCCATCCAACCTAATCTGTTCGAAAATTTTAATTAGCCGTTCATCCGTTTGACCTCATCCATTGGAAAATTTTTAATTAGCCGTTCATCCGTTTGACCTCATCCGTTCGAAAATTTTAATTAGCCATTCATACGTTCACAGTATCCGTTTGAAATGGCTTTCCTAGCCATTCGTCACCGGTTCGCTTGACGTTCCGTGCACTGTTTGAACGGCTACCGTTAGGTACATTTTCGCGTGAGAGGTCACAAATCAATGAGAGCCCTTCAGATTGAAAGGATCAACAATGATTTTAAAATGGACATAATTCAGTGGAGTATACATAATATCTATACAGGACTTTTGCCCACAGATATTTGACAGATTTTTGCATTCAGATATTTTCAGTTCTGATAAGTTATAATTATTAGAAAAACAATTGCCTCAGACTGGGGTTAGAACATCCCCCTGAGGTTTTCCTTAGCCACTGCCCGTCCCTTGAACCACACAGTTTTAACCTCTAAGAACTGAAAATATCTGAATGCAAAAATCTGTCAAATATCTCTAGGCAAAAGTCCAGGCTCTTGTTTCATTACAGGGTAAGGGCTCACCTTAAACCGTGAAGCAATCACGGTACCAAATGTAGCCCATCCATAATCATAACATTCTTCACGACCGGTACCATTAAAATTCTACAGGAAATTTGTAGAAATGGTATAAAAATCACATAATTCAACTTTGAAATTCACATATTGATTGGTTTAAGATACAATTGTGGATAGTTGGATAGTTGCACAGATCTCAATTTTTGAACAAATTCAACAGCATACAAGTTTCTTCCTCTGAAGATAATAACCTTGTGTTGACAAATAAACAACAAAAAAAAAAAAAAACACAGCATGGCTTAAGTCAACATTTACAACCAGAAGGGCAAATCAAGTTTACTGTAATTTATCCTCACCACACAAACGTTATCTTTGTAGTCACAAAACCCAAACTGGCTCACATGTAGGAACAAAAGTCCTTCAATTATCCACCACGGGCCACTGGTCATAATTAACACTTCACTAAAAAAGAAACAACAAAAATAATGTCAGACTAACTGTAGTAAAAAATGTGTAATCATAAAAGTAGAGAACACTAACTTGAGCCAGGTTTCTTAGAAAAAGCAGACGTGCTTAAAACAATCCATGTTCTAATTTTGAGATCACCCTCATTAGAATGTGACGTTTCCTCTATCTCCCAGAGGTTTCCTTAAATAGCTGATAAGATTTCAATATCACATGTCATTGAACTACATCTAGTGGTAAATTTCATTAGTAAAAATATCCTTACCTGTCAGAGATCCACAGTACTTTTGGCCACTTAACGGTGCTGGTTGGTTTTTTCACTCTTAGATTTTTATGAAGTGATTCCCTTCCTAAAGAGCCAGAGAACTTGGTCTTTGTTGTTGAGCTTTGGCTATAAAGCAGCAGCTTGGTTTAATACTAAAAATAATTGTCATTTTACCATGGTAACAAGCATTTCATCATCATCACATTTGTTCCCCCCTAATTATACTCTCTTCTGCAAATTGTCTTCATTACAACCCTCTAATACTGTAAATGATACTTTTGTCTAGGCAATCAGTTTTTCCACCTCCCAATATATTTTTCGGAAATAACAAGGAGCAAAGGAACCATACTAGAACAGATGTTCCTTCAATGCATTATCTTTTCGTTTTGCAATTTATCAACCTTTAATACATAAAAAAAATTGTCGTTTCGCCTCCATGAACAGACTTTTTTTTTAGGGCAACAACGCCAGTTGATCGTGTAATAGTAACCATTTAGTTTTAGTGGCCTTTGAACAGAGAGATGTCAGTGCGTCGCCTGTCACGTAGTGGTGGTGCAGTTAGGGTATAGCAGTTTCGTATTACGCCATGTCGTTTTAAAAGAATTACATGGAAAACACGAGCAGATCACGAGCATTTTAAGCGGGTGAAATTGCTCCTTAACTGGCCAAAAGCTTAAATACCCAAATGAAAACGATACTTCCAAATTAATAAAACGTTGTCACGAAGTCTGAACGTCTTAGTGACGGTAAAGCCCATAATTTTCGACTTGTGTATTGAAGTTGTCTTCTGATGCTTGTGACAAGACAGAAATATACTGTTTAAGTTAACAAATCTTGTGCAATAAAACAAACTAATTCCTGAAAATAAGTAACTGAGAACTGCAAAAAAAATAATGTTTTGTCTTTCCTACAACCCTAACTCATAAATAGATGGAAAACGATGTTAAGTGGACGGCGAAGGCTACGTTTTAGTAAGTGGCAATAACCTACGTGAATGCATAAGGTTGCGTTTCGATCCCACTTATCTCGAATCTTCTTCGTGTTATTTAAGTATTCGTAACTTTCTTGTTCACTCTTTTGCCGATTTTAGTGGTCAGATGAAGGAATTACTTAATCCAGAAGCCTTTGAAACGCACTGCATGCTTCTTGAACATAAAAAATAAAATCAATGCCCATAACGTAATTTCAGTTTCAGCTGGTTTCAGGTGGGCTTGTCTCTCTCTAGATCGACGATTATAAGACTCTTAACCGATAATTCTAGAAATATTACTGAAAAAATAGCCTGTCAACCAACCTTGGCGAATTCCTATTTTGACACCACTACATGTCGCTTAAGTGGGACTTTCCCAGCCGCTAGTTTGTTTCCTCCTTCCTTTCTATTGCTACCACGAACCTTTTATTATGATTGCAGCGTTTCAGGTGTGTTTGCCATTTTTGGTGATTGATTGCGTAAGGATCCTCCCTGTCGGGTCCCCTGACGGTCTAGTTGGGGCTCGCAGAGTAGGGGCTCTAGTCGACTTAAGGTTTTTGCACTAAATGTGCAAGGTGGCGTACCTTACTACGGAACGCAATTTTTATTGCATCTTTATTTACGTCAATGTTAATTTGAATCAAACTGTTTTACATTTTTTTTTTTGTCTTACAGCACCTTTTTTTAATGATTAAAACCTCAGTTCAAAACGTCTTTCGACTGGTTTACGACATTCTATACAAGGCTAAAAGATAAGGAAAAAATTAAAATGTTGGAACCAAACGTTTTCGGTTGTTTGCCATCATCATGCCTGATGATGGCAAACAGCCGAAAACGTTTGGTTCCAACATTTTAATTTTTCCTGATCTTTTACCCTTGTATATAATATACTTTACTAAGCGAACATTATGGACACACTAGTTACTCGGTTGAAGCACTGTCCCGTGTTACCCTCATTAAATAAAGTTCATTGAATGATTGATTGACTGGTTTTCGAATTGACCCGTTTCCTCGAGGGGATAGCAAACTTCTTCATTATTTCTTCTTAAAAAAATTTACAAGGTCCGCCGGTTCGTCCTTCCACTGCTAGTCACCTCGATGGTCCTCTATAGGGATTTCCGTCGGCTCCTCTCTTCCATGAATACCAAATATATCGGCTCAGTTCTATTGGAATATGCCCATCAGTGGAAGGGAATAGTTTTCCTGGTAGAATTGTTTGTCCAGCGACTAAAAACCGGTCATTTCTATTCTATTTTTCCTGCTTAAACGTGAGTTTTAATCAATGAAATTAATTAATTAAACGTGAGTGTAATTAAATTATTAGGTGTACGCATTGATTCTCAAATGACCTTTAATGTCCACATAAGTGAGATTTGCAAAAAGGCTAGTCAGAGAGTGGGAGTAATGGTAAGGTTGCGCAACTTGATACCAACCACTGCTAAGCTGCAGCTGTATAAGGCTGCAGTCTTGCCCTATTTGACTTACTGCAGTACTGTATGGCACTTTTGGAGGGGAAGTGATGCAAGAAAACTGGAGCATGTCCAGGAGAGGGGTCTTAGGGCAGTTTTCCGTGACTGGAACGCTAACTATGGGCAGTTGTTAGAATGGGCTAAATTGCCCACCCTAGTGAACCGTGGATTGCAAGATATAGCGACTATCATGTATAAAGTAAAATTTAAGCCAGCACCAAGCTATATACAAGACTTATTTTCAGCAAATCACACAGTGTATAACTTAAGAGTTAAAGAATTTACTATTCCAAGATTTAACTCTATTAATTATGGCAGGCATTCCCTTAGGTATTTAGGACCTGTGGTATGGGCTAAGCTACCTTCCCGTATTAGGACGTTGAATTCACTAGCGGGTTTTAAGAGGGCAGTTAGAGGAATGGATTTGAAAATCTTAATGGACGATGCTGGCTGTGTGGGCTGCTTGGTTTGCAGTGCATGATTCTTAGTTATATCTCAATTAGGCTCAGACTATTCCTCTCCCCCCTTCCCCCCCAATTTCCCCTAGCCTAATTCTGCTGACCACAAATTTTATGCTATTTATTCGTATATTTTATGCTATTTAATCGTATATTAATATTTAGTTATTTATTATTTCATCTATATTATCTTGTTGTGTCCTTACTTAGTGGTTTTATTACTATTTTATAATTGACACATGAATAAAGTTCATCATCATCATCATCATCATCATGAAAGGCTACCAGCATGTACATTACACGTGATAACCTCTTAAATCAGGAACGAATTTTAAAGTAGAAGTTTCATACGCCATATCAGCGCTTTAAATTTCTATGAAATGTTTAAGATGCTCATAAGGCATTGTTGTGTAGGGTGCATTCACCGCACAGAAGTTATGCGTGAACTGGCGCGGATGAATAACAAAGTTGTACCAGTACCAGTACAAAGAATATGACACATATGTTACAGCGTTACAGCCTTTGGACCTTGCAACTTGTATCTGGAAAGGATCGTAAAGAAAATAGAGAAGCGTGGCTTTAGTGATTATTGAGCGTCTACTATTACGAACGTACTGGTGGAGCCGAACAGAGACGTCGACATAATCGAGGGTAGACTTGAAACTTTCCACGCTCAAACCATCCCATGCCAAAGTACTCATGGATGTTTACGACTTCCTTTGAAGACTGAGAAGGGATTAAGGGGTAGACAGAGTCAACAAACTCTTAACCTGCAGAACATGCGTCAATTTCTCGCGTGTCCTACACCATGCAAGTCTCGCTACACGCGCTCGCCTCGAAAACCCCCAAAAGTCACCCGTTCTGCCAGCTAAGAGAGTTTAATGTAAAATAGAGATAACACGCTCTTGCATAAGGGTTGTCTGATCTCCTAACATAATTCCGTTAGCTAGATAGTTTACTTAAACAGAGTGAGAAGTTCAAGAATTTGACTGGACACTGAACTCTACAGCTGCTGTAGGGGGGGAAGAACGAGGAGCCGGCGGTCTCGAGATAGCAGCAGAATTGATCCTAACGTGTGAAGCGTTGCTTGCAGGAAAGAATAATGCAAGTATGAATATTCTTTTTTCATATTCATTAAAAATTCACGTCGTATGTTAATAAAATGACAGATAGAAAACCTTAAATTTCACCTTATTCTATTCCTCTCATCTCAATCAGGATGACTTCTACCGTGAAATATTTGTTCGAAAAAATGTACTCAAAAAAGTCTGTTTGACTAAAAAGATATTAGGATTTGACTATGTACATGTTCACTCTATTACTTTGCCTAAACTATCTGTACATGAAATAAGGAATACTTGATAAGTTAGCTGACGTGGATAGTTTAACTGTGTATACAATGGTCGAATTCTCATAAGGAACATTTTCCAATCAAGACCGCTGCTAATGATCCAATATTTTGAAAAAATACTGCACCTGTATAAATCAACAAAAAAATTAAACGAAATTACTGGCTGAAACTTCATGACATTGAAAAAATTCCCCTAGTGCATACTTGCCCCAATAGTTACAGTAGGGTGCTACCCAATCAATCTGAGTCTTTTAGGCCATGTGACTCCCCTTGATCAATCGCTCTGCAGAAAAGGCTACCAAGATGGTGGCAGCTTTTTATGGTTCTGGTTGGCCGAGAGCAGTCACATGACACAAGAGATTCGGCGACGCTTGCGGCAGTGTCGAGACCATGCTCTTTAGATAAAACTTCAATCTACATCAGGCTACCCACAAGAACTTTATTAAGTCTTGTTCCAGGTCAAGCAAAGAAGTGCGAAAGTAGACCTTCTAGGAGTGAATTTCCTACAAGTCTTCCTTAAAGAAAATCAAAGAAGAAAAACAGGATTTGCAAGTCAGCGGTAAGAGACCCACTAAAACAATTTCTCCTAACCTCTAGCAGTCCATCTTCTGGTAAATCGGTGCAATGGACAGCATTCTTTATCTTGTCTTTGCCAAACATTGCCCGTAATGTTCCAGGGCGTAGATGGCGAGCGATTTCCTAAAAAAGAAAGGATTTGTTTTGGTTCAGGTCGTGTTTTAGAACGTTTACACAATTCTACACCCGCAAAAGCCGCCCGGACGATTGCTGTTTTGTTTTGTGTCTTTGAAACAAATTTTTTCTTCGCGTCCAGGAAATTAAGAAGTGAAGAGGAACTTTAAGGTAACGCGAAGAAACGCACAGTACATTAGGATGAGCTTACAGGATCAAAAGGGCCGACGAATTCTCTGAATGAGACTGGTGCATCGGGAGCTCTGATCTCCATAGCAAGGCACGGTCCACAACACAGCTCTTCAACCATACTCTGAATGCAAAAAAGAAACGAATCCAATCAAACTAAGAATGTGAATCTTGCTGCGTTTATTTGAGTGGTGATCTTAAGGCAATTCCTTAAATCTGGAAGTAGAATTAATCCAAAAGGATTCGAGTGATCGAAGAAAAAGAAAAGAAAAACAGAGTGGTTAACAAAACTCATCATTTCATTGGCTGAAATTCCATTTCTTCTGCTTTAACTCTTTAACTACCAAGATCTGATTGTTAATTCTGCACTCTAGCTGCGACATATTTCCTTCTAAATTACATGTAGTTATAAGAATGAGGTGTTGGATCAAGATAACAACTTCTCCATGATTAGTGAGAGTATTCTCATTTCCTGATTGCTGGATCATGTATGGATATTATAGGTAGAAGTTACAGGTCAATCACTTCTGAAGGTTTAACGGTTGAGAGTGGTTCACGTGTTCAGCACTTTACCTGGTATTCGTTTACAACACCTTTGTAAACTTCATGGAATTCTTCAGCATTAGCTCTTTCAAGATGGAACTGAAGATCAGAGCATAAAAATAATCAACACCTCATCATCCAGACACGACCAGAGACCATCAAAGTTCCTATTCCCAAATAGAGAAATCTACTGCATTGGTTCTGTCCACTGATCTTTGTTGGTAAAAACAAATGCTTCTTGGTCACAATTAGCAGTTTCCTGTGGAGCAGGCAGTTTGCTTGTATTTACCCTTGAGTCCTAATTATAAAATGTAGCTGCATGCGATAGACACCTTTGTTCCAAATGGCTGCTGTGACTAGTTACTGTAAATTTGGTTTTCCAACTCTCATGAAAGTGCTCTGAGTTAACTAAGGTTCACCTTACTTACCATCTGAAGGGCAGAGATCTCAAAGCCCTTGCTAGTTATAGCAGATATGATCTTGCCAGTGTTACCTGAATGCAAAATATAACAACTGTTAAGAGAGACTAGCATCTTATTTCTCCTAATATTATAAACACTGAATCAAACATTTAAGGTCCTGAGAATAAAGGAAATGATTTCCAACTTAAAAGATGTTAATGACACCTTCACCAACTTGGCCCTTGACAACAAAACATCGCAATCCACATCCAAAGTGACAACAATGTGAGACAAATGATTATGTTTCTCTTCTGAAGTTTTATTTACCTTCACGACTGACCACAAACTGATTGTACTTTGTCATTCCATACCTGACAATTTTACAACATATGACTGTGTCTTACTCTTAGTGTTGATTTACAATACCTTCAATGATGGCATGGGGTTTGATTATGCAGAGAGTGCAGTTTGAAAAAGTAGCAGTGTTTTTTCCAATGAAGCTCTTGTCACCAAAGAAAAAATCTGCTTCCTATAATTATGTCAGAATGAAAGAAAAGAAATCTTACACAAAACATCTTGAAAGAATAGCTATAAAATAAATGATAGAACCTTGTACCTTTTGTTCCTCCTAACTTAAATTTAGAGCCAATTATTTCACTTAAAGAGCATTCTTCAGTCTTTCAGCTTAACAATTTAACCCCTATGCGTGATGAGCTTTGAATCTGATTTCTCTAGATACATTATCAATGCTGACAGAAACATTAGGGTTATGAAGATAAAGGAAATGACCAAACACTCAAGGATCTCTAAATTATTAAACAAATTCTCCTTGTTAATTCCATAGGAAATGTATAGAAAACAGTTTGGAGAATATGCATACTGATGTTGGGGTAAAAAAGGGTTCAGACATGTGAACTCCTTGTCAACACCTGTTTTCCATCTCCCTCAGGCAGTTGACTTTGAGGAGGTCAGCAAAAATTGTTTACAAAATGTCATGTAACTATTAATTTGGCAAGACAAATAAAGTAAAAAAGCATTGTAAAATTTAATGTTAAACCACCAAATAAATGTTCTTACTCTTTCAGCTGACTGTGCTGAGTCTGAACCATGTGCTGCATCTTTTGTGTTGTCTGCAACAAATCGGAACATTAGTGGTTTAGAATACTTAGGCAATTGATTGAAAAGTGTTTTTATTAAGAATTGTATAGCCAAGAACAAAAGGCATATTACAGTAAAAAAAAAAAAAAAAAAGGAGTACAAGCATCAGGAAACGCATATCAGGGTCATCTTTGTCATCAAAACTGGTACATTAGATAAAATAGCAATAGTTTTGACCTTGGAAAGAGTTGTTTCCATGCCAAACTTTCTAGAAGTTAACCGCCTTCCCTCCCAGGGTTCTGCCAGACTCAAATTTGCCTCTAGATACTTTACCTTGTCTAATTCTGAAAGTAATTTTGGTTAGTCTGTATTAATTAAATAATCATCACCACAAGACTGAATACATACCTGTGCCAAATTTTGCTCTGACTGACAAAGGAGCCTGCTGCCTGGCAGTTGCCGAGTCTGTTGGACCTAGGACTGTCCGCCATTTTGTAACAGCATTGGCGCCTTTCAACTCCATGGCAACTACAGGACCACTTGCCATGAATTCCACCAAATGGCTAAAAAACCAGACCCACCGACCATCAGATTGAATGCAGGCAAATCATTTAATTAACAGACCGAAAAATTAGATACTGACATAAGCTCTTTTATTTCCTGCAAACTAAGATTTACAGTGTGAAGTACCATTGTTTGTGTCTCTGATTGGACATACAATGTATTTTCACAGTAGTTGGCTTCCAATCTTTGAAATGTGTCAACCAGTTAGGAAAAATCTCAATATGTGTGAAATAAAAACATTCTACTGTGGAAAGTGCTCGAACAAATTTTATTCACTAGTTGCAATGCCTCAAAAACTCACTTGTTCACTGCACTCACTGGTTTGCCTTTTTTTTTGGCATTGCAACTTGTGAATCAGAAACATTGTGCACCCTTTCCATGGATTAATCTCTATTTCTATACTAAAGCTTGACTGAACAATGCAATTAAAAAGTCAGGTTGACCATCCAACTCCCAAAAGTCTGTTATTTTTTTTTGAAGAAATTCTTCCTTGCTTCTGCTACATATTTCTTTGAAATTTAACACAAGAACTAGTTGTTATATCACCTCAACAATTACACCTTCCAAAGTAACTGATACTTTTCTTATATACACTTACTCAAAAAAGGGTTTCCCTTTGTGCTCCGTATAAAACAGTGATGCTTCATGCCTGTAGTGCTTGGAAATAAATCTTAGCCAGTCTGTCACTAAATGTGTTTAGTTAAAATGTAATTTGTGAATAACAGCTTTTATTATACTTCAAGTCTCCTGAACTGATCGCTTTTAGAATTTGTAGATTATTCAGTGTTATCATGATGGAAAATTTAGCCAACAACCAAGTGTAAATACTTAATAATGTGTATCTTGAAGTTTATCATCAGATAACCAATTGATTCCATGTTGCTGCACAGAACCGCCTCTCAGTTAGCTCAATTGGTTAGAGCACCGGACTGTTCTGTGGGAGGTCGAGGGTTCAAGCCCCAGCTGGACCAACACTCAAGGTCTTAAAATAACTGAGGAGAATGTGCTACCTTTCTATAATAGCAAGAAATGGATAGACATTCTAGTCTTCTCGGTTTAAGGACAAATAAACTGTAGGTCCTGTCTCCTGCATCTATTAATTAGTTAATTTAGTTAGGCAGGGGCCGTTAAAGAACCTACTCACGAGATTACTGTCAGTGATATGGTCTGGCCTGTTTACTGGGAATTGGGGGATAGCTTGCAAATATGTCTGTTATAGATGTTGCAAGATGATATATGTAAATGTAATTAGTATAATTTCTGAACTGAACAAAGAGTTTCCAGCAATCTGATTGGTCAAGCAGTTCAATATATGATGCTATATAAACTGCTCCACGCAGTTTATATAAAATGTTAAAATAAAATGTTACTAAATGTTACTAAAATGTTATGATTTTAGAAATTTCTCTGTTGTTCAGCTCTGAAATTATACTAAAACAATTATTTGCCTCAGGTTCAGTGAATATTGTCGAATAATCCCCTCGAGTTCATCTTAGGGATTATTCGACGATATTCACCTTGCCTTCAGCGAATAATTGTTAAATGTAAAGTATGTCTGTTCAGTAATACATCACAGATGACAACAAAACAAGGTAAGAACAAGAAAGTAACACGTGAGGTGCAGCTGAGTGTGTCACTGACGTTCCTATCGCATTCTGACATTTTTTGTGATGCCATGAATTTTCTGAACCCATGGAGCATGCAATCTATTTATTTTACAGACAAAGAAAGGGAATTTTATTAATGGCAATGTCATCTATGCGTCAGAGTGTCCTCTTAAAGATCGATCAATGGTAATAACCAAGCAAAATGTAATTGTACAATTCAGCTTCAGGGCTTGTCACACTAATGGCAACCCACTAGCAACAGACTGGTGGAAATTCAGTTATGGCCAGTGGTTTGCGATTTCCACTAGCCAGTTTGGCTTAGCCTAGTAAACAAACTGAAATTGTCATAACATCTAAGACATCACTAGCCACTTGGCTAGTTAAAGTTGAAAAGTTAGTGTTGAGCCCTGCAGCTTGTTATACAATCATAATTTTATAATTAAATTATTTGAAATTATTATTATAATCAAGGCTCAAAATTAACGGTAACCCGTTAATCAATGGTTAGTAATTTCAACCTTTGGTTACTAAAAATGTGTCTAACTAAACCAACATGTATATATAGTAAACAACATGTATATATTAATTTAGTAAAATTTTCTAACATATTTAAACATTGGTAGACCTCAGGACAAAGAGCACATAGACCCGCCTTTCAGAGGAATACTTAGAATACTCAAGTTGTTTAATCAACTCAAACTCTTTTTAGAGAATGTGCTGTAGATGTACTGTTCTTGACTAATCATGGTAAACGAGAGGGAAATAAAATAGGTGCATAATTGTCAATATTTTTAAGGTCACCATGTAATTTCAGCTACTCTTTAATTTGTCCTAGTCATTATTATCAAAATGTTTAATATTTGAGATATCGTATCTTGTGGGCTTGGATACCAAACTTGATAATTTGGTAAGTAAAAAAGATGTCTACTAACCCGAAGGGTTAGTGATCCAAAAATTGAATTCAAGCCCTGTTATAGTTATCATATGATGCACGATCCGCTCAGTAGATAGCGCTATTTAAGCAATAGCGAAAATCAGACCTGAAAAAAATCAGGCCCGTGCGGGATTCGAACCACTGACCTCTGTGATACTAGTGCAGCGCTCTACCAATTGAGCTAACAAGCCAACTGGGAGCAGGTCGTTAAGTGATAAATGTGAAAGTGATAAATGTGAAAGTGATAGAAATGTCACAGATTAACCTTGACAGTCTAACCATCTTTGCTTGGCAAATGAGGAAGCCTTCCCTATGGATCATGTCAATTATATTTCCTGAAAAAAAAATAATAAAAAAAAACCTTTTCAAACCAAAGGTCACATAAACCAGACATAGGTCACTCATTGAGAACAAAATAGCAGACCTTAGCCATGTATAATTGGGTTGTGACTATATGGCTGTTTCAGTCAGTGATTATAAATGGGAGGATAAAATGTAGTTAGCTAGACCATTAAACTTCTTTTTCCATCCCTCATGGCAAGATGAAAAAAACTCTTCTAAATTTCATGACTCAGCTAAAAATCTACCATCATTTCTTTGTTATTCTACTTAATTATGCACATGGTGCTTTTTATATTACTAATACAAGCAGTGTGCAGGATGGATGTTACACATGGACCTCACAATGGCTTGTCTGAAATATAGAGAGTCTCTGTGGTTCAGTGGAATGCACTGGAGCAAATATAAACCAGGGGATAGGGGATAATTAGCCTATCCAATACCAAATTCCCTTAACTTACATCTTGAGAATTGAATGGCTGATGGTGAAGAGAATTACTGATGAGATCTTGGGAGTGAAGGAGTTAAATCATACAAAAAGGTCAGATACATTGTCAAGAAGCTATATGCACCGAATCGAAATATGGTGTTCAATTTGAATTGCCATTGTTCTGGACTGACTAGCCTCTCACACATGTGATTAATTTGTGTTTCTACGTCAAGACGAGGCTAGTAAGTCCAAAACAATGGTAATTCAAATTGGACGCCATATTTCAATTTGGTGAATTGGTCTCAGGAATATATATATATCTTCAGTTGTTAGATGTTTTGTTATGTAGTATGGCTGATTATTTTTACCAGTTGTGCTGCATTTTGACAAGCCCATCAGGCAAGTCAAAATGCAAATAATGTATTGTCGTGTTGCTGTTTCTATTTTCTTCACTAAATGATGAAATAGTCTGGCTACTTGACTTCGTTCAATTTATCTAATAAACTTGTATCAATATTTGCCAGCCATTCTGGCTCTTTGTCATGAGAAAAGTGATTTAAATTGTCCACCATTTTTTTTTTTGGTAACTTCAATCCAATTCATTGCTTGTGCAATGTGAGGAAACCTGTCTAACCCATTCTCTGGAGTACAAATACCATGTGATATTTGCACTTGTCTTGGGTGCTATTTGCACTCTATGGAGTGTAGTAGTTTAACCCATTAATGGCTGCAGCTTTTGTGGAAAACTGTGTTTTGAAGCTAGTCCAGCAGATTTCGGGTCACTGTTGTGGTTTTAAAAGCTCAAACTTACCAAAAACCCCTTGACAGCTCATACACTCGACAGCCTTTCGATCCAAATGCAAAATGGCGGCCTGAAAATCTCCGGCACGCGCAGAAAGCAAAATTTCGACATAGTTTTTGAGTTGAAAAGTAATGCCCCACTTACAACTTTTACTTTTCTCTCTTTCTCCTGCCCTTTTTTTCCCTTCTCCTTGCCTGAAGTTTCTCCTCACTTGCTGGAAATTTAGTAGGCTTCATTTTGGTGTAGAGATTTTTCAGAAACTACTCACTATTTTCAAACCACATGCTCAGAAATGGTGGGTAATGGAACAAGATTTTCGTGCAGATTTTCAGGTCAAAGTTACATGGTTTTTTGGCTATTTCTCCAATCTCCTTCACTCAATCACACTCATTCTGGTATTGTTTGTAAGATATTTTCCACCTGTTCAAATACGTGCTCAAATTCGTGCTCCAGGGTTAAAAGTGATGACGTCACATGGCGTAGAAAGGGTGTGGGTCCCCATGGGCGCATACGGGCGCACTGGATGACAATAGGTTAATAAAAGCATGCAACTCTCAGCATACTCTCAGAACTTACAAGATACTAATAAAGACATGAATCAAAAAAATCAAATCATGACGTACCCATCTGTGAAATACCATCTGGTTTTATCATAGCTAGTGTTCTGGACAAGAAAAGATGAAAAACATGCATTTAATATGAGATAAAATTTACTATAATTATAGGAACAGAAATTTTTAAATTTTTGATAAGAGCATTATTACCAAAAAAATTTAGCAGTAGTATTTAAATTAAAACATGCACCCTTTAAAAGGGTTGTCACAGGAAGCCGTGAATTGAAATTTATTGAGACAAGAATTGTACTTACTTCTCATTCTTGTTTCTCAAAAGGTTAGATGTACGTTCATCTGCATAGTCTGTTATTGATAACTGAAATGACAGATGAGTTTTGAAAAAAAGCAGCAATCAACAGTACATGGCATGAATTTTGCAGTTCAAAATTGTTGAAATCAATTTCAAAAACTTAATTCAGTACGATCATAACTATTCCATTCATTCATTCATTCCATTCAATCATTGGATAATCTAAGTTATTTAGAGCAAAGAAATCTGTGATAATGTCCATTCCAATGGGACACTGGACTTGAATGAAGACTCAAATACATTATAAACAGCTTTTTTAAAAAACCAGTCAAGTGAAAATAACCATGAGGTTTAGTTGTACACAACTACCAGTTTTGTAATTAATCAAAATGATAGCAAAATTCTGAAATATGATTGGTTATCAGCAACTATGATTTGAACACTGAAAAATGGGTACATGTCATGGTTGTAATTGGATATAGTATAATAGCTAGGGCAGTTAATGCATCATGCCTGTATAATTGGACAATATGCACCACATGTCTGGGTTGTTGTCAAGCACTTTGCCATGTTAACTTTTGTTTTTTATGAAAATGGATGACTGGCAGCTAGAAGTGTTCTTGCCATAATAAGTTTTGATTAATTTGTAGTTAGGGGTCTTCGCCTTGTCCAATTCCATCAGTAATCATACTCATGCTTAACAAATCAGACTCCAGCTTTATGGTCATCCAACTTTGTTTATTACTCTTATGGTTACTGACTGAATCAGAATTCGATCAGTCTTACTACCATTTTTTATCGATACTAGATACAGTGTTTATTTCCAAATGTTGCAGGTACCTGTCGAGAATGGATGTTAATTGTGGCTCCTAAAAACAGATGCTGAACCTGAAGGCCATCTATCACAGATCGCTTCAAGAAGAGACGACGATTTTTTACGTCATACTGCGGAAAAGACAATGTAAAATTAAAAACTCATAAGTTGCAGTGAGACATACGGTGTACATAAGACATCTATACTGATGAACACCGAAAGTAAATATATACGTTATAATTATGTGGGAAAATATGGAAAATGGGAGAAATAACCATTAAAATGAGATTAAAACAAGCAAAATTGTGGTTTAAAAATTTTAAACTAGGGAGAAATCCCAGTCTCTGATGAAACAAAAAAGTCTTATGGCTGAAAAACTATACTCATTATCTTTGATAACGGTTTATCTTCACAAATTGATTATAGAGGACATGACAAATCATGCATACCGACTAAACCCATCTCATGTAACGGTAAGAAGTGGAATTGTACATGATATCAGTGTAACATTGCAGTTACTTACCATTTCCACAGACGAATCACTTGGATAGAAGAGAAGTTGATATTTTCTCATCAGCGAGGCCCTTGGATCGTACCATTCGGCTAAAAATGCGTACCGTTCATCTGATGCTGCCTGTCAATGTACACAAATATAAAGTAACCATAATAGATACATTTGAAAGCCAAAAAACTCGCAAAATGGTTTACCATGGTAATTTTTAGCGAGCTCGATCAACTCCAACTTTGCCTCAGTTTAGATCTAGCGCTCACTCTTGTTTTAGCAACGAGCAAGCCTCGCTTTCACGTATCACTAACTCGTCTCCAGTGCTCGGTCTTGTTTTCACAATGAGAAAGCCTCATTTTCACGTGATTCCTTCTCGATATTCTTCTCCACTCTAGTGACGTCCTTGCCACGCGACTCTTACGCAACTCAAACGCAATTAAGCTAAGAAAGGGGTATGACACTAATTCAGGCTCGCATATCACATGGCTAATTTGTGGACTGCACCTGACATGCATAGACGAAGACTATTACGTGAAATAATGAAGTAGTGCACTTTCCAGTGCTCGTTTTTAAGAAAGAGTTAAAAGGCCTTAAAACCACTTACGGGAGGACAGTTTCTCTTATCACCCAGCGCGGGGTGATTATAGCGAGATAGAACGCAATCCTTAACCGCGAGAATCTTATGCTATAATTACCTGAACAAACTCCTGAATCTTATTTTCGTTATGGCTCAATACCTTGATTCAAATGGAAAGGAAAAGGTTCTTGTACTAGATGGAGGTCTTGGAACAGAATTAACAAGGGCTGGTTTTAAAATCGATGTAAGATGCTTATCTTCTTTTTCTGCAAACTGACACTTATGAAAAGTATTTTCTAGCTTAATCATTAAAGAATATTGAAGTCTGAACGTCAGTTTAATTAAAAAAACCTGGGGCTTGTTGAAGAGAGGATACATGCATATACCAGTTAATTAAAAAGGTTTCTTCTCAGGATGATCCACTTTGGAGTACAAGAACTATTATTGAAAATTCAGAGGCAGTAAAAGCTGTCCATAAAAGGTAAGAAACTAAAAAATTTGGTGACCTAACCTGATCTGAACAGGCCTTTTTAAGGTAAATGCTAGGGAGATATTAGCAAAATAGGCTCAGTATTGTGAGAGGTACATTGTTAGTGGGTGTGCCCCTCACCCCTTCTTGGTTATTTCCCCCATCCTTGCACCACATTAACAGATTGAGCTACATCAGTAAAAAACAGAAATGAGCAAAAATTTTTAGACCTTAGCTGGTATATCAGATTGTCTATATAACTCTCCTAAATTAATTGTATACAGTTTAATAACAAATTATTTATGTTTCTCAGTTTCCTTGAAAGTGGGGCTAACATTGTGATAACTGCCACTTACCAGGTAAGCAATCAAACATTGACCAGGTGATGTTTGTAGACTATTTACTTTGTGGAAAAATTGGCATCAAATGATTTTATAATGTTGTCTATTTTCTTGTACTACTATAGGAAAGTTAATGTTTGTTGTAACTTGGTTTCATGGAGCTCACCCAGTCAGGATTTTTAAAATTTCTCTGTTCTTTTTAAGCTTAGTTATGAGATACTTCATCAATATTGTGGTTTTGACGAGAACAAGGCTTTGGATGTAATTTACAGAAGTGTAAAAATTGCCCAGGGAGCTTGTCTTGAAGTGAACAGGTATCATCTGAGAATAATTTTAAAATGATAGCTTCTTTGGTTGGGTTCAAGATAAAAACATCATAATATGGTTTTATTATAATTATTATTTTTCACTTAAACACGAAGGTGCACTATGAAAAGAGCCTTAGGTCCCACTGGACCATTTGTCAATCAACTGTCGTGTGATGTAGAACTCTTAGAGTCAAGTCAGCTTGAGCTACAGCTACTCCAGAGCAGTGAAGACCGGGTGCATTCCTCAAAATTCTTTTATGTCTTCATCACAATACAAGAATCTTTGAGATTTGTATTTCCTTTCTCCAATGGAAACTGTCTTTATTTGTGGCAGTAAATTTGAGATCGAAGTAGGTGGTTCGCACGTTACCTCATTGCCACCATGCTGGTGGAAGTAAACAATAGATATCTCATTAGCTCATTTTGTTTATCTACCTGCATTTAAATTTAACCTGCACACGTCAATGGTGAGTGACAAATGAGCCTAGGTCTTCCCAGGGAAGAATTCCTTATATAGCGCGCCTTGGTGTTTAAAGTTCTTAAAATTAATATTCATAACTGTCTTTTGGCCATCCAGCTTTCTCTCAGTTGACAGTGGAATATTATTTGTTACAAATTTTGTTTTGTCTAAGTTCCACCTAATGTTTGAGGAGTAATGTTACCATGTAAAATCTGTTTGCACAAATGTCTTGGAATAGAAGCTTTTTTTCTTTTACTTCTGAATCAAGGAAGAGTTGCACAGAAATTCATCATTACTTCTTGACTGTAAAGTTGCAAAAAATCAAGGGATTTCATGTGGAGTATTTAAAGAAAAAATGGCTCACATAGCTTCAGGCATATATGGTATAAATTTCACTGAGAACACCTTGATTACCTTTTATTAAACTGTTTTACCTGTTAAATTATCTCAACCCTTCAACCCCCAAGATCTGATTGTTAATTGTCCCCTCTAGCTGTTATACATTTCCTTGTAAATTAGTTATGAGAATTTGATGTTGGATCAGGATAATAATTTCTTCCTGATAAGTTTGAAAATTCTCATTACCTGTTTGCTGGATGTTGTATGGAGATTATAGGGAGAAGTTTCATGTTCATCACTTCTAAGAGTTAAAAAGTTTATTTTCTTATTTTATTCATTATTTTTGCTAGTAATAACCCCAAATCTCAAAGGAGACTGCTGGTTGCTGGATCAGTAGGTCCATATGGAGCTTGTAAGCATGATATGTCTGAGTACAGTGGCAATTATGTTGACGAAATGACAATAGAGGTATAAAGACCAGAATAATTTTGATGGCTCTCTACATTTAACAATTTGTTTCAATCAGTTTGTATAAAATAAAATTTTCAAGTCTTGAGTGGTAATTAGGTAGGGGGACCAACCTAGTATGTTGAAATAGCTGAAAATGTTAGAGTTTTACTGTGGCATTACAGGTCAGCCAGTATGTATTAAACATTTGTACGAGTTCATAGTGATAAATCCTCTAAGAAATTATTTATAATATATTAAATAACTTTTCATTCTAATATTCAACAAGTTTCTTTTCAAATAGTGAAGCTTTTTACCTGGATTATTTTATAAAAATTAATTCTCCTCTAAAATGTATTCACAAGGTAGTAGTGAGGGAGGGAGTGGCTGGGAGAGATTTCACACCAGATCCATGGAGTTAAAGTGTTAATTTTCACTCTTTTAAATTTAGCAACTGATGAATTGGCACAGGCCCAGGGTGAAAGCATTGCTTGAGGCAGGAGTTGATATTCTAGCTCTAGAAACCATCCCTGCTCAGGTACTTCTAATTTTTTGATTAATCATTATATTCTGATTGCACTGAAATGACACAGGATGTCAAATAAACCCAACATGATCACAAAAAGATTTAATTTGAAGTGATCAGACTATGAACAGTGGATCAAAGTCCATACATGAAAATTTAAGTCACTACCTGTGGTCCCAATTATTTTTCCCATATCAGGAAAAATGTAAACTTCAAAAACTTCAACTTTTGTTCAACAAAACCTAATCAGTTTATTTAATTTACTGCTAGTATACTTTTATTATAGGCTGCTATCAATTTATCTACTTATATGACCATTACGGTGTCCAACTAGAAAGCCTTTGCTACTTTGGACACTGTGCAACTCTCAAACTTATCTTTATAGCCAAATATTACTATTATTCTTTCCTCTTTCTCTTACTTTTCAATGTTTATTAACTTCTATTAATAGTGTGAAATAAGTAAAGTTCAAAGTTCAATGAAAATTGATGTAAATTTAATGATCACGTTTTATTCAAATTAATTGGAATAAATAAACTGATGTATGTTGTACCAAATTGAATTAGACATTTTGGGGCCAATGCCTCCTGAAAATTGTTAACAGTAAAAAGATTTTGTTTTTGAAATTCAGCAAAGAATTTTATCAACTAGTAGTTCCTTTAAGAAAATTTTATTCGATTAGTTCATTTTAAATTTTGTTTGCCCACACAGCCCAACACTTTTTATTAATTATTAGCATTACTGATAGCTTAACAATTAATATTAGGTTGCCATTTAATATTTGACATTTTTTTTTAAACTAACCTCTCTTACTGGTTAATAATTATTAATTATTTTACCAGAAAGAAGCAGAGGCTCTGATTCAGCTTCTCAAGGAATTTCCTACTGCAAAAGCTTGGCTGTGCTTTTCATGTAAGGTGTGTGACAAATTTAATCCCAGTATATCTAATCTAAAGGAATACATTAGATGTATTTTATTTTTACTGTGTCTTTGATTAATTGACATCATCCTGACTTCTGTTAAGGATATGTGATAGAGGGACAAATTTTTAAATCCCTTGTGGTTTTTCATCATGGTCTGCAGCACCTTTTTGTCATTACTTGGGCTTCCTGTGGAAAATCACGAGACTAAAATTAACCTGCGGTCTGCGGTATCTTCCAAAAAAGCACTTCCGGTGTTGCACAGGCACTGATTAGGGGCCGCCTATTTAACTTTTGAGGGGGGGGGGGTTGGTAATTTCTGATCATCAAGAATTTTTTTTCTAGCAATCTGGCGGGCAGGATATTTTTCCGTTCTAAATGCTCTTTTTTCCTGTTACATTTGGGCTGCATGCAATATTTTTCTTCCAACAAGAGCTTGCAGGATATGTTTTTTTCAAAATCACCCCTCCAACCCCCTCAAAAGTTAAATGGTCGGCCCCTTACCTGGAGTTTTCGTGGCATTATAATAAAATTATTTCAAAGAATTTTGGTTCAAGTTGATGGTATTTTTAAAGAATGAAACAATTTCAACATCGAAAGATAAATTGGGGAACGCGTGCTTGGGTTCAACAAAGACATTGTTAGTCGATCCAGATGGATAAAAATTGAAGCGAAGTAAAAGAAATCAAAGTTCTGCTCACGAGGGGGCCTGTTTTGACGCCTTCTAAAATGTCAAATTTTGATTTGATAAGACAGGCCGGGTTGGGTGATTTTAGCGCCCCAGAGAGAAAGATTTAAGACGATTCGCGTTTTATATACAGTTACTCTCAAGTCATGTCAAGTTTATCGCAAAGCATTCAACCATTTGTGAATACCCCATCGGTTTATCAGGTAAAATACGATACGGCCGTCTAGGATCAATAACCACATCAGGTAGAAGAGGTGTCATGGTATCAAACATGGTAACTGACACGGCTGGTGTTGATTAAAAAGCTGTCCATGATATATCGACGACTGACTTTTGCTAAGCATCTGCATGTGATCGCGGATAGTGATCATTTATTGAAAGTCATTTCCAAAGTGATTTGTAAAAGAAATTGAAACGCAGTTTCCCAATTTTTCTGTTCGTAAAGTGTAGGAGGTGCCTGTCTTGGAAATAAACCTTCTTCATACATAAGATCTGATCCGCTTTTTGCTTTTGAGTGAGTTTAAATAGACTCTTTCTGCAGCACTGATAACAAACTGTTAGTCTCTTCATTATTTTAGATATCTCTTTGGGAGATTTTGCTTTACGGGCCATTTTTTGATGACGGCTATTTCGTCTTGTTCTCCTGTATAATCAAAGGCGACGACGTCCTTTTGACATTTCCGTTGCCAAATTGGCTGTTGTAGTAGCTGTTGTCCATTCAAAACTTTTTTGCCTAACGTAGCTCAGTGAATTCTTTTCTGCATGTTAGCTTCTACACATTTCCTTTTGTTGTCAAATAGTAGATTCTGATAGATTGTCAATGCAGATACATTTGAGGCGCTTCCTGTTTCCGTTGAGCTTTTTTACTAAAAGGAAGGTTTGCAGCAGGCAGTCATTGTCTTTGAAAAGTAATGCTCATAACAACCATTTCAATTAGCAATTCAACAATTTTCAAAACGGCTTACTTCCTGATTCTGAACCATGTGGTTCCCAATATGAGGGGCATTGTCCTTAGAACTTGTGATGCCTTTGCCTATGGCTAAGAACATACCACTCATAAGTAATTGAGTCTCTATTTGACATGCAGGATGACAGTCGCACCTGTCACGGAGAACTGTTCTCTGATGTTGTCAATGAAATCGTCCGTCAGTCGGCACAGGTAAGCAGCTAGACTTGCACACTAAAAGTGAGATTACTGTCTCAATTCTTTGTCACATTTAAAGTTGGTATTATCTGAATATATGACTTCATTGCATTTATTTCTCATTTCTAGATCGTTGCTGTGGGTGTGAATTGCACTTCTCCACAATTTGTAAAGGTGTGTATTTAAAGCCTGAAGCCATCTCGTACCCAGGTTCTACCGTGTAACTGAAATGTACAACCGTTTGGCACTGGAAGGTCTGGGTACGGGGCTGAATTAGTTGAGGATAATTTATATCAGACAAAAATCCTCCATCCCCTCTGTCACTAGTCTCATACCCAGACCCTCCACGGCCAAGCAGTGGGTTTTAGTTACAACGAGATTACCCTACCACTGAATTTCTTTTTAACAGTTCTTACTGCAGGGTATCAAGGGAAAGGTTGATGTTCCCTTTATTGTTTATCCCAATGGCTGCGTCGATGAAAAGTGAGTGTGATCTGTTTTTTGTTTCATCTCTTTCTTTATCTGTTTTATTGAAAATTAAACCGAAACCAGTAATCTTTTGATTAAACAACTTTTATGTATTGGAGGGGTAGATTACTAGTAATTTCCATCGATGATTATAGTGCTCTTAACGATCTTCATGTGATATGCTGGAGGTGCTCAATGAAGTGTAATCAGGGATAGTGCAGTGGGAGATGCCTTGCAAGATACACCCCAGACCCATGATATTCCATTTCTGACAAAATACCCTCCCATTGGGAATGGTAAAGGTAAAGTCTGTTTACGAGCCTAGTGGCCCATTAGGCCGGTGCTTAACTCCGGTTTCTGTAGCACGGAGCGACTAGGAGTATTTCTCCCCCCCCC